GTAACAAAGAAATGGAAAAATTGACCCAATATTGCGAGGGATGGCACTTATGTAGATGCCACGCCTATGGTGTATTGAGTTTATTATTTGTATTTACACTAAATGGTTCAGTTTATGCACCAATGAGTCAATCACTTGTCTGACCTTTCTCAACACCTTTTTATGTTATATTGTAAGTAGTGTTGTTAACCCCATGTTCATACCATGGCTGTCGTGGAACAAACAGTGGGTGGCATTGCATCATGACAATTCCCACGTCCATCGGCTCATCAGATGGAACTTGTTTTTTTCTGGTAGTAATAGAGAAACTTTTAATCAGTAGCACCGAAAGTGATGGTAAACCTTCATTTTATATATATATATATATATATATATATATATATATATATATATATATACATATATACATATACACATATACATACATACACATACACATATACATACACATAACATACACATACACATACACATACACATACACATACACATACACATACACATACACATACACATACACATACACATACACATACACATACACATACACTATACATATACATATACATATATACATATATACATATACATATACATACATATACATATACATATACATTATACATATACATATACATATACAAATATATACATATACATTACATACAAATACATCATACATACACATACACATACACATACACATACACATACACATACATACATATACATATATATATATATATATATATATATATATTATATATATATATATATATATATAATATATATATACTATATAATACCCATACATTATACATACACATATACATACACTACACATACACAACACATACAAATACATATTACAATGATAATAGCATTAATAACATTAGAAGACAAAGAAGAAGGAAACTGTGTGTAGACATTTCACAAAACCATACTTCATTGAATATTGATTTTCCCTGTCGGCATATGGTTAACAGGCAAAGCGACTGGAATATAGCAGTGGTATTCCCACAGGATGCTAAAGTAAAGGGAGACAAGTAAAAAAATGAACAAAAAATAAATTGCCATCTTTTGTCAAGTTGAGCATATAACCATTTATTATAATTGCTGTAGATCCTCTTTTAAAGGGTGAAAATACCTTGCTTAAAGCAAGACTTCATTTCATGTATGTTTAGATTCAACAAGCACAGTTAAGGAAACCATCTATTATGACATTACTGTAGAAGCCAATAAATTTGTTCATGTTTTGCTTGAATTGCTGTTAGCTGGCCTGCACATCATTTCTTAGAAATATATATATGTATGTTTTCTTCCTAATAGCAAACAAGCTAAAAATCCTCAGTCTCCTGGGGCTTCTAACCTACGCCTCAGTTCGTGATGTCATTGATGAGAACATAGATAAACTGAAGGAGATGAAGAACAAGTTGCGCATTCACCAGTTGACTCAGATAAAGAAGGAAAAGATCGAAAATGCTGCTCGGTAAGTGACTCTCCCACGGTTGAAAACTTTGGAGCCAGATATGAAGTTTCAGATCTGCAATATTCAGGTTGAACGCTGGTCAAGGAAGTTTTTTGCTAATAACTTTCCATTCCAGATTGCAGGAGAAAAGGGAGAGAAAGCAAAAAGAGAGAGAGAGGCTGCTGAAGGAAGCTGAGAAAAAAGCAGCTGCTGCAGCCATGACAGGGGAGCCAGACAAACCTATCAAACTGGATGAGGATGATGAAGAAGAGGAGGAGGAAGAGGAAGAGGAGGAGGAAGACGAGGTAGTGAGGGCAGCTCGACTTCTGAAGGAAGAGAAAAATAAGGAGGCCAGGAGACAAGATTTCCTCAAGAGAGAGAGAGAACTGATGCAGCAGGTTAGTTGTGGTGCAGGGCAGACTTCTTTGTTTGTGTAGTAGATTGTAGTATACCAGGAAGTAAATATTAGTTTGATAATATGGGAAATTGGAAAAGAAGATATTTAGAATTCCAGTTTTTCCTTGGCTGAAAACCTCTATTATTTAGAACTATCAGAACAAAAGCCAAAATACTGAGCACCCTCCTTTATGAAATTTGTATGACATATGAATTAGGTTATTGACTTCAGTTTGATTGTTTATTTACATAGTTTTGAATATACGTTGTAAAGATTAGAAATGCTCCGTGATTTTTCAGCATTCATCATACCTCCTTTGTTTTCAAACATATTTGGTGGTAGCTGGTCAGAATAGAATGAATTCACATTAGGGGATGGTTGTATAAGAGAGGAATGGAATTTGAACTGGAAAGAGCAACATCGTGAAAAGATTGCTTACGGTGTTCAGTTGTGTTATCTTGTGGTCTCATGATGTCCAATTTCAGGTACTGAGCATGGCAAAGGGTGTGAGCATCACTCCACTTGGCCAAGACAGAGCCTACCGTCGTTACTGGATCTTCAATTCATTACCAGGTCTCTTCGTAGAAGACAATGAGCTAAATCCAGGCACTTGTAGGCCAACACCCACACCCTAC